AATAATCAACTCTTCCCGACATCTATTGGCGAATAATAATACTATTTTTCTTAATTGAGGGCAACTAGCCGCTTCAAAGACACAACAAGATGGCGTTATCAAAAAAAAAAACCTAGCAAAGCTCGGTCATCATTTAGTATTATTTAAAGAGTCCTTTGTACCGTGTTGCCGTTAGAAGCCGATAATTCAAATTCTTCCAATGATTACGTAAATTGCAAAATAATTTCGCACATTCCGTAGTCTATACACAAAGTATTTTATGACGTCTTGCCTGATAAAGAATATTTCGTTTTGATTGTGTTGGAAATAATCTTTGCCTAAAGAAAATGGCAAATCGTTTTATGTTAATTGTCGAAATGGTGACTATATAAAACTGCATTCGAGTTAATTTCATGCAATTACCGATTAAAATGGTGAATAGATTTCTACTAAATGCGAACTCTTCAAACTCTCCTCACTAACTAATTATACAACACTAATTCTAGTTATTTAAATGACGTCGTAGTTACTTAAATGAGATAATCCCACAATCTTTACTCAATTAAGTCGTCGTGGCCTAAAAGATAAGACGTCCGGTGCATTCGTGTTGAAGCAATGCACCGGTGTTCGAATCCCGCAGGCGGGTACCAATTTTTCTAATGAAATACGTACTCAACAAATTTGTTCACGATTGACTTCCACGGTGAAGGAATAACATCGTGTTATAACAATCAAACCCGCAAAATTATAATTTGCGTAATTACTGGTGGTAGGACCTCTTGTGAGTCCGCTCGGGTAGGTACCACCACCCTGCCTATATCTGCCGTGAAGCAGTAATGCGTTTCGGTGTGAAGGGTAGGGCAGCCGTTGTAACTATACTTGAGACCTTAGGACTTATAACTCAAGGTAGGAGGCGCATTTACGTTGTAGATGTCTATGGGCTCTCTATATCTATAGGAAGTCTATGTACGAAAATTCAATGTCCTTAAGAAATTCATCTACACTCCTAAAGAACTTGGCGGTCTAGACTACGATTGCTATATAAGATAAGTGGCTAATACATATGTATGCGTTAAAGCACGGCGAGCACACGTACGGGAACACAATAGCCACTAAAGCCTTCGTTCAGTACACGCTATTATTATTAAGCTTGTTCCTAGCTTAAGGATCGACATATTACTCATAATTTGTATTTACAACCTAAACGTTATTAAACATAAATATTCATATTTTTTAACAACTAAACTTATTGGCTTTTGAAAAAACATATAAAACAAAAGTGCCCCTGGTTTATATCAGTTACTAACTGACACGGCAGACTTTGTAGTGCCTCAATCGATAAATAAAAGACCTAAACTTTTGTACAAAATAAACTTAAAACAAACAAAAGGAATCCGTCCGACGGGGGAAACATCAAAGAAAAAACCAAATTGTTATTTTTATTTAATTCCGAGCATTTTCATATTTATTTACCTTTTAAACCTTCTCTGGACTTCGACAAATAATTCAAGACCAAAATTAGCCAAATCGGAGACTAACGAACAACAATTCATTTTTATATATATCGATATACAAAACTTTTCCGCCTAAATCATTTTTAGTTCAGTTTCAGCCATTAAAAAAGGCCAAATGTTTGTCTATCGAGTAAATTGCAGACAAAAGCTATTTATTACAATTATTAACACACTAATAGCTCCTATTATGAGTAAGAGGGGAAATGCCTGTCTAGCGGATTGCTGACTCACAATATCTTTCGCTGAAATGATGAAACATGTGGTTACAGTCATAGGGACTAGTTTCAGGCGAATATAAATTAAAACGGTTTACGTCCCACTTGTCTGTCACGCTTGCAGTTAATGAATCGATGAGTCACCGGTTACAGATTTTATTTCTCCTTCAGCTTTGTTTTAACGTTTACGCACAGACGAGAATGTAATTTTATAGGGTATTATGAAAACAATAGTTAAGTTATGGTACTGGTGGTAGGACCTCTTGTGAGTCCGCACGGGTAGGTACCACCACCTCGCCTATTTCTGCCGTGAAGCAGTAATGCGTTTCGGTTTGAAGGGCGGGGCAGCCGTTTTAACTATACTTGAGACCTTAGAACTGATATCTCAAGGTGGGTGGCGCATTTACGCTGTAGATGTCTATGGGCTCCAGTAACCACTTAACACCAGGCGGGCTGTGAGCTCGTCCACCCATCTAAGTAATAAAAAAAAAAAGTTCACTTAAGTAAGCGGTGAAGTAATATTGAATTTAAATAAATCTATTGCTACTACAGTCTCATAGATCGGTCTATATAGACATATCAAATTCAGCGATGAATTCCAAATTGCTGTGTTATAAATGTACTTTAATTAATGTAAAAATCATGAACTTTACCGATTTTTCGTTGTTTTCTGACAGAATTCGTTGTTTTTTCATTTATGAACATTTTTCACATGGTTTACACAAAGATCTTCACATCTCTTTATTTCTTATTCTACCTCTTTATCTACATCTATTTATTTCTTAGATAAAGCGGATCCAGAACGTATTACTGCTTCGCGTATGAGCTCACAAGGCGCCCTACCACCAGTAATAAAATTGTTTTTTTTTCGGGTTAGATTTTAAACACACAATATTATTCTTTCGTTGTGTAAGTCGTTTGTAAGTATGAGTTGTGTTCGTAATTCATTAGAAAAATTGGTACCTGCATGCGGGATTTGAACACCGGCATAGGCACATCCCTCGATACGAGTTCACCGGATGTCTTATCCTTTAAGCCAAGACGACTACAATTTGCATACTACAATTACAGACTATAGTTTTCTTCCTTTTAAGTTGCATAAAACACATGTACAGGTGTTTATAATGTTTTTGCTAAGGTCTTACACAACGTTTTAACTAACATACTAATTCTCATTAAAATTTCTTACGCCTTTTATTGCATAGACTAGCGGCCCGCTCCGGCTCCGCTCGGGTCTTTAACAAAAATTTCAACGATATTTGACGTTGTTTTATTTTTTAAATAAAAGAACACTTATTGCGGCATAACTATAATAGTTAGACATATGCTGTCACGACATTTTTTGTAAATAATAATGTGTTCTACAAAGTCGTAGTACATTATTTTACTCTATCATCAATAGTTTTCACAGGGCACGCGATGTAAACAATATTTTAGGTATTTTTTTTACACCTTGAGTTAGATTATAGAAGTTTTAGTAAGGATCCCTATTTCTTCTCAAAAAAGATTATAGCCCATGTCACTCGGGAATAGTGTAGCTTCCAAACAGTGAAAGAATTTTTCAAATCGATTCAGTTGTTTCGGAGCCTATTCAATACAAACAAATAGACAAATCTTTCCTCTTTATAATTTTAGTATAGAAGTATAGATAAGTGAACGAGCTCACGAGCCATCCGCTGTTAAGTGATTACTGCGTCTCATAGACATTGTGAATACCGCCACCCGCTTTGAGAAATTTAACTGAAGTATTTATCGTATATCAAGCTCCAAATAAGTATGTCAAAATGTATCTAAATCATTAATGATACATAATAACTATGATCCTATTCAAGACAAGAAGCTTTTACATTATGCATTCCATTTAAATAAAGCTCATGAAGCTAAGTAAAAATTGCTTCGCAAATTAAAAGCCTTTTAAAAGCATCCCTTGGCATTAGATGGCAGGGAAATTAATCTACCGGTCTAAGTCAGTTACTAATCATTTTTAAGAAGATTAACGAAAACACATCCTTAACAAAACCTAATTTATGTTATAGCTTGATTATAATTGTTGTCAAGAACAAAAATAACAACAACAGTAGTAGACAACTAACTACTCATTTTGTACATTTTACGTTCGTTTTGAGATATGGCGAATTAGCTTCATACTAAAGGATCATTTGAGCTTGTTGATACATGTATTATGTATGTTTGCCAATACTCACTTAAATAATCTTCAATTCTAATTCAATTTGTTGCGACATAATGAAATTCGTCTTTGTGTAAGTTTGTTGATAAAGCAGTTTCGGGCTTGAAGGCTGATAATGGACCGTAATGATAGACAGCGTCTAGACCGTCTCGACCGCTGAGTTTCTTGCCGGATCTTCTCAGTGGGTCGCGATTCCGATCCAGTGGTAGATTCTGCGAAGCAGTGCTCTTGCCGAGGCTAGTGTTAGCAAACTCTCTCAGGTTGAGCCCTTGAGCTCATCTACCCGTCCGGTTGTAGCTGGAATAGCTTTTTACGCTACCCGTAAGATATATACCGTAAGATAATAGACCGTCTAGAACAGCTATTAAAATCACCGAGCTTGGACTCATTAAATTCGTCTGTTCGAGTACTATTCAGTGAACTATCAAACTGAACACGAGGGTTGAACGCATTCTGACAACTACGAAAATCGCTAAGTAATTTAAAAGACTACCTATATCAGCATGACGAATTGGAAGAAATATATACAGAAACTTCTTGTAAATCATAAGTTAAAAAAAAACTCATAAACTAGCATATATATAAGTATTTCGTTTTTATTGTATCACATCGTTTCGGAACTAAAATTATATTTAAACTAGTTGATTGGATTTTTAAATTTGTATATGTATGTGTTTAAGATAGATACGAAAATTCAAGCAACTAATGAATATGATATTAGACTTACAACATCGCCTACTGGTTTGTTTTCTTATTGCCGTAGTAAAAGCTGTTGCTACGTCATCGTTACGTTGCATACAAGTCTTATGGGTATTAAAGTACAATATAGGCTGCTGTGGAAATATAGTGGAATGTGTTTTGAAACTTATTCATATTCTTACCGATGCATCATTTTTTTTAATCGAATTTTATTTTAACTTGACCCAACATAACGAGGTTACTTCAACTTAAGTACTTACTTGCGCATTTACTACGTACGTGCATGTAGCCTTAACTTGTTTGGTTGCCATGCAAGTAACTTTCTAATATAACACACAAAAACTATGAATAAAAATATATTGAAATGTGTCAGAGAAAAAATGTCATAAAACAATAATTACTCACCTTTAAATTCAGATCGTAGATCTCCAATGCCGGTCAAATTATCAACTACACTCGCGATGCACAACGAAGAACTTAGGTTTTACAAACAAACAAAAAATAATAATAAAAAAAATAGCACCTTTAAAAAATGTAAACAGAGAAGGATATAGCGAAACTCACGTGCATGGAATGTTTACGAAATTTAGGAACCATCGAGTTTGACTTCGGTCGGGAAAACGGAATCGTTTGAGGGATGCCAGTCAGTGTATATGCGATGTCGTTCCGATCTGTCGGGGTCGGTGCGTGGAGATGGGCACACGGTCGGCCATGCAAGCTAGCGCGGGCGTCGGCGAGGCAGCGCGTGCACTGAGTGGCGAGCCGTGGACGATGGCGCGTCGCTGCCGGCCGACCGCGAGACTATGCCCCGCGCGTGCGCCGGACCAGTTCCGACCAGCCTCCCGCGCGCCCACCGCCACAACCTGCATCGCCACCAACATCACAACCAACCCGCACGCATGCAATCTCTTTCACTTTTCAGCATCCTTCAGTCGCTACTCGCACAAAATTAATTTCCAAAGCCAGGGTTTTATTAATTATCTATAAGTTTATGACCAAATAAAATAGGCATCGCTACTTATTATCACTGCCAGGTAGGTTATGTACACAAATGACAATTTGAAAATTTCTAGAATGCAACGTAGTAACGTAATTAAGTAGTGAAATAAAATTTGTAACTTACAATGAAATAAATTTTCAATAATCTGAAATTTATGTGTATTATCTAAAATTACCAGACTTCAAAATGTATACTGCCCTCAAATTGCCATTCTGGGCAGACGAGCATACGTCCCACTTGATGAAATTAGTCACCATCGTTCATGGACATTAGCATTTCAGAGGCATATCTATATCTAAGCCGGAGTCTACTTCAAAAATAAGAGGACAAGTTCTTGGCCCATATTATGATGAGTGGTTTAAACTAGAACACATGAAAGCTTCGCAGGAGACATAGGTCGGGTTACCAAACTCCGCTAAAATCCTTACGTATAAATTACGCCAATTCTTCTAATTTGAGGCAGATTTAAATCTTAAGCATAATAATAGCTTAACTACAAAGAAATTCGCAGAAATTCAAGTGTGCACATCCTTGTCTACAACGGAACTACGATATGATATCTATGTTATGATTAATCCAATCTATTGTCTAACAAAGGCAGAATGTTGAACTCCGTGACGCTTGCACTTCAATTCTTGATACAATTTATTTTTTTCAATAAATATTAGATAAGAGTCCGGTATGAGTCGCACATTCTTAACGGCTGATTCAATTCCAATCAACATAAAGATAGTGCGTCAACAGCCTAAATTTACAAGTAAAGTTGATATGCAATCTGTCTTAGGTGTTTGACTGTTTTCAATTGTCATCCCGACACATTTTGAAGCATTCGGGGCTTAGTGAGCAAGGCGCCAGTTCATTCATTAACCATAATAATATTAAGCTGTAGTTTGTCTGTCTGTTATCGAACTAACCCCTGTATATATATATGTTGTATGTATATTGTATGTATATTGTTTTATGTAAATCAACAGAGATCCTGTCATCAAACATTCTTAGCTACTCACTTAATTCTTAGTGAATATCTGTGACCTTGCTCGTTCACGAAGCCCGCTATAGAAAGCAGAGTAATAAATACACTTGACATTGGCGAAATCTAAAAGGAAACGCCATAAACCTAAGAGATAGATAGATAGAGCCAGGCGCCGGGTTTTTGCTGGGTATTAGTTAGTGAATACATCCCACGATAAAGGGACATCGTGCAATACCAATGAAACCCTTCATGTTTATTAATTTACGTAATTACTGGCAATAGGATTTATCATGACATATTTCGCCAATTTATTTTATGTGTGTATCTATGGCTTACCAGATATGAAGTGGCTACCAAAGTCCATAGACATCACGACACGGACGTCACCACCCATTCTGAGACATGTGGTCGAAATCTCAATTGTATTGTATAAGGTTTGGGTCTTCAAACCAGAATGTATGACGACTTCGCGGGAGAAATCGTTACGATAGTAGTGATAACCACCCGAACTGTCTTGAAATGTACCGTACCACCAGTAAACTTAGGTACGCAATCGCAGAATACAAGTATAACGATGGTACCCATTCTCCGGTGAATCCCCTAGTCGCTGCTTATGATATCCACCGATTGAGTGGTGTGGTGCCATTGTAGGATGAGACCACATAGTCAATTTTCTTCTTCTAAATTAAAGGACAAATCTACATCGTATTATAGTCACATACGTCACGTTTACTGGTGGTAGGACCTCTTCTGAGTCCGCACGGGTAGGTACCACCGCCCCGTCTATTTCTGCCGTGAAGCAGTAATGCGTTTCGGTTTGAAGGGTGGGGCAGCCGTTGTAACTATACTGAGACCTTAGAACTTATATCTCAAGGTGTGTGGCGCATTTACGTTGTATATGTCTATGGGCTCCAGTAACCACTTAACACCAGGTGGGCTGTGAACTTGTCCACACATCTCAGCAATAAAAAAAAAAACATAAATAACAGTATATGTTTTACTTTATGGATTTCTATGCCACATGAATTTGATAGTTATGAAACTTTTATTTATTTATTGCTTCGTACAATTCTTGTTAGGAAGGTACCCCCGTCAACAGATATCAACAGATGGATGTTTCAACATATTTCGCGATAAACAGCAGAGACTAATCACGGTACACTACTAAATCATGCGATTCAACGGGTAATATAAAAAAATTTACAATTATATTCGCACAAATTACGAGCGGCGGTTTCGCAATTCACGCTTGATTGCTTCCAGACTTTGATTACTATCTGACGTCATCGATCGGTGTGATTTACTGTATTAAAGTGATAATGGCAGCAATAATAACCGTCAGAGGCGGAGACATACGCCAGATAGATTACTAGCTGGGCAAATTACCTTTGTTGAAACTTAATGGATCCGATTTAAGCTGCGTTGCGGCAACCAATAATAACAGATAAACGCAATCGTCACTGCTAACAAGGTTTTCAATGCTATGCCAAATTGCCTGTATTAATTTCAAACTATAACTAAATTTATATGGATTATTTTAAATTTTATCCTTCTTTGATTTTAATTATACATATTTTTTTTTTTTAAATCGTAACACTACCACGCAATTTGAATACCAGGGTAATGTAGAAGTATTTAGTTTTCACTGACTATCGATTAACAACTACCCTAACTTAAAGGAAAACAAAGTTAATTAACTAAGCTTAGTATGAATACTTAGCTTGATTCATATGTTGTGTCAGTGTGGGCCCTCGTGCTTCCTAAAAACCGTGAAACCCGTGCGTAAGCTTTTTTTAATTACTTTAAATTACGCGGGATACAATATATGTACGACGAATAAAAACAAAATACCTATATACCGTTTCAAATATAGTTTTATTAGATTACTCTTTTGGTCTAATGTTTGAAGGCATCGTGGCATTGAAATCGTCGTGGCCTAAAGGATAAAACGTCCGGTGCGTTCGTGTGTAGTGATGCACCGGTGTTCGAATCCCGTAGGCGGGAACCAATTTTTATAATGAAATACGTACTTAACAAATGTTCTCGATTGACTTCCACGTTGAAGGAATAACATCGTGTAATAAAAATCAAACCCGCATAATTATAATTTGCGTAATTGCTGGTGGTAGGACCTCTTGTGAGACCGCACGTACCACCGCCAGGCCATACCACCACCCCACCTATTTCTGCCGTGAAGCAGTGATGCGTAAAAAAAGGCATTTTATCAGGAATCATAATCGTTTTAATCCTCCTGAAACATCCATTAATCGTCCTGAAAACAATTTATGATAAACGGAAAACTAGGTTAAACACAGTCCCATTAAACAAAGCTTTGAATGCAAAACACGCATGCACTAGTTTTCTACGAGACGGGCTCAATCAAATTACCCATTTTCGTAACTTAAAATTACGTATAATAATAAACTTAATACACGTCCATAATAACTTTTAATTGTTTCTTGATCGAGCTTGTAATAATAGGCACCTATAAAAATAAGTCCTGTTAATGTTAGTCGAATAGATAAACGGCTGTAATTATACTGCAAAATAGTTGTTTATTCGCAGTATCTCAACAAGCAGCAATTTCCAGAGTGGTGTCTAATATGATCGGCGCGACATGGCGCCAGGCCCGCCGGCTTCAAGTAAAGAACGTTTATGTTAATACCACCACACATCCAATGTTAAACAAGAGAACCAGATATCGTATAGACTTATAAATTATTAAATAAATACTAATTACTATCAGACTAATCGATCAACAGATTGATAGGAGCGTATGCGCGACGCCTGTTGAAATGTGTTCTTGTCGTCGTATAGATAAAAATTCAAAGTATTTGTTAATAATTTAAATTTCTGTTGATCGCACACTTATTTGCCTGAAAGGGATGCCTCATGATCCTGCAAAGCGATCACCAGGTCTGATAGATGTATATAGGCCCCATTGTGAGTTAAGAGTCTGAACTGTATTAGAAATGACAAATCTTCAAACCCGAAAGCGTAAACTACCCGTGGCAAAATAAGAATAAAGGTACATCAATATGTCTTTAAGATAGAATTTAAGAAGTGAGTCGAGTATTAAGTAAGAAAATAGAAAAGCCACGTCTAGCCATCTACCGTACTGAATAAAAACTGCTACGGATTGACGACCGAGAATTTTTGTAGCGATAGTCGTATATCTTTAGATTTATAGCTGAGCAGGCTCTTATCGCGTACAATCTTTGTCTGCTACTTTTATTGAAATAATTTAAATAATTCATTCNTAGAATTTAAGAAGTGAGTCGAGTATTAAGTAAGAAAATAGAAAAGCCACGTCTAGCCATCTACCGTACTGAATAAAAACTGCTACGGATTGACGACCGAGAATTTTTGTAGCGATAGTCGTATATCTTTAGATTTATAGCTGAGCAGGCTCTTATCGCGTACAATCTTTGTCTGCTACTTTTATTGAAATAATTTAAATAATTCATTCATAGAAGCTAACATTGCTTCGAAATTGCAACATTAAATGCAACTAAATCCAAGAAACGTGACGATGACACATTCTCGTATTATGTCGTCGGTAATTGTTTGAGATATGTACTTAAGTACTAGCAAAACTGATTAGATACATATTACTAGAGCTTCCCAAGATAGCCAATGTTAAATAAATATGTTGAACAATACAGATAATCGTGTAATTTTACCCCAGATGGGCATCCACAGAAAACACGAGATGTATGATTAGCATCAGCGTTCATCATTAGCATTAGACGAACTGCTTAGTACATAACCAGCCTAACTTGGTAAAAATGTACACGCATATTTTTCACCCAACCCATTCAAAAAAGGGTAAAAAAACCTCAT